TGTCGGTTGTATCATAGTCAATTCGCCACATTATTCGCATATTCTGGGTGACACCGTTGTTGATATAAGATGCCATGAATAGATGCAATATTTTATTAGGTCAAATACTGACACTGTAGCCTTTTGAGCATCTATTAATTTCTCCATAGTGACGCGACCGACGGCTGAGGAATTGGCACCAAGGTAATTGTGATTGTGTGCATGAATACAGTTCTATAGAAATCGCGGTGACGTTGTCCTAGTGTAGTTGTCACGTCTGTGCCCCAGGTTGTGGGACGTCGTGTGTTCGAAAAAATAATTTTTCGAAAGACTAATAAATTGAGACAATTGTCGTTCAGTGTGATTATTTTGTGACCGTGTCTGTAACGTACATTCACTTGTTGCCGACATCAGTTATTTACTGTGTTAATAGTTTTACGTATTTAAGTAACGGTTAAACTAAGTTTCTCGTGGCGAGCATTTTCTGTATACATGTGTTCTATAGAAGCCATTCTATTTGTAGTTGTTGTTATCATTTTCTTTGTTTCGTTGCAGTTTTAAACATGATATAAAAAGGATCAGTAACGTTTAATTCTTCAGTAAAATGACTGACAACTACAAAACAGCTCGCTCAATAGAGCGGGGTTACGTTGACGTATTGTACCGCTAAATCGGTTTAAACTCTGACCCCACACATTCACGTACATGTACCAACACGACGGGAAGACAATCCTCACGGATCGCCTCGAGCAATATGCGGCCAGAAAATTGAACACTCGGCGTTAATATATAAATGCCGCTCGGTCTCTTGTTAGATATTGTGAATCTAGTAGATGTAACTATGGTAACTATGAACATAAATCAGTGCGTGAAAATAACACGAGGGTCGAACTTACGTTGTTACAACAAGTGCAGCACGAACGAGAAAGGCAATGTATTGGTTGCCGTGACAACACATACACTATATTTGTTATACGATGTTATGATATGGATAGTGATCAAAATGGCGAAAACAAAATTAGGCATGCGTCTACCCGAGTCTCACCGACTAATCACAATTTTCAAATCAAGAAAACGTATTATTAATAATCCTCTCAGTTATCGAAGTACGCGGTACAAGCATGTCAAAGTACGGCCAGAATTTCAAAAAGTATTCAGAAACTGGAAATCAAAACACTGTATTCGATATTAGTTCAAATAGCTAAGCGCTAAACGACTTGACTTCGACTTGATTCGTACCTGCACATGCGTGGTATTACTAATACAAATTTACCCACACGAAGCAAATTAATGCACTATAAAAATACACTAACTGAGTTCCAGAATATGCGGTCATTCAACAAATCTTATGCAGGTGTTCAGAAATATTAATGGGATACGTATATGGGCAAGGCCGCTAACATTGCTGAACAATTTTACACAAAGCCCTATGTATTAAACAATACAATGCTTACCCCGGGCTTCAACGCATTTTACTAATGTTCGCGATAGATGTCACCGGCCCTGATTCCATATGTAATTAACCCCTTTGCTGGTAATTGTATCTTGATCACCCCATTCCCTTAAGGCAATTGCCAAATAAATGACATGTTGACTGTATCGTTTGGTGGGAATATCACAGTCAAGCAATCGACAAAAATGTAGATTTAATTCCCACCAAGATAAGTATCCACAGCGCTGGTTTCAAACAATTCATTATAAAAATACCAACTCAAAAAAGTGTTTATTTTCAGTTTTCGCCCGAGGGAACAGTTCCATAATATGGCAGACTTTTAATCGACTTTAGAGCGCAATGATAAAATGACGCGCCACGTAAAATTTGATAACACAAGTAATTACGCAATATGTCACCTTCAATCACGACTACACAGCATTTATTGATGTTACAAATGAAATATATCACAGGACACTCGAAATATGTATATTTCATAGCCAGCGGATTGAGAGGAATGAACACGGGCCACGATACATAGTTTAATAACCTCAAATAAGTTTATTACACATCCGAAATAAAAGAATATTTCCTATACAAGGTGGTCAAAATATTTCCAGTCCACGGTGGCCAAAATATGGCGATAGGTGGGAATATTGTAAATTATTCGACGGTATTGGTATACATTAAAACAAAGCTAAAGTCCATGTATGTTCGTCCAATAATGTGCAGACCCCAAAGCCACGTGCCCGTGACGAGTTCGCATTGAAAGTTTTTTATTGGTTGCTGGTGGCATTGAAGACACTTTGGTCTTTAGAATTACAACAATCAACAACATTGGTCTTTGGAATTACAGTAGTGAACAATATAGATCAGAGCTTAGTACTTTTGTGACTTACAAACAACATTTATTTTCATCATCATGTTTGTTTTAAATTTAGGGGGTCTCTGTAAACGAGCGGTGATGTTCAGCGCCACAATATTGGTTTTCCTGAGCATAATAACCGTAGCGGAAGGTAGGTAATTCATTGTTATTAAGTGGCTTTGATTGATAAAATATCCGCAATCGGAATCAGTGTTAAGGTGGATCAATATGGTTTCAGGGAGTTCATTGAATTTTTTTTATGTTTTGCAAGAAATGAAAATACGAACATAGTTTTTGAGAACTTGACGTTACTGTATGTAGATTAAGGAGTTAATACATGGGAACACAACCCATTCGATTAAAAAAAATCGCTGCGATTTTTCAAAACAAAATATCGTGTCTTGAACTACATTTTGAAAAAATATAATAGGTACATACCTATTGTACAGAATACATTTGCATTGGAACGTGATATCAAGCAAAAACGTCTGCCCATCCACTTCGAACCTTGGTAGCAAATTAGTTGAAATTATTAATTATAACGTTTTGTAGTTGACTACCTAATCGCGAATGATGACGCCCGATGCACGAGTCAGCGTTCGAACTCACATTTAATTATTATGTGTGTATGTGCTGTTGCAAATGTCCAATGGATTATACACCGGACACATGTAAGCCTACATTAGCAGATTGTTTTGGGATTAATACCCTCAGTAGATTATCTCCAAGGCAAGTTTAGAATGCTGTTTTCTTTCGCCCGTGAGTTTAAATGCCAGTGCAAAGACCCTGTATTTAAACGTTGTTGTTATACAGAGTGACATAGAAAACACGGGTAAATGTGACATTAGAATTGTATTATCGGCAAAATATTATTTTAAGCGTTTCACGTTTAAGGCGTGTATAAATGCAGCAGCTACGTTATTCGTAAGAAATCCGCATAACAAATATATTGGCGACACAGCAGAGCGTCTCCGTGGATTCGGTTGAGATTTGGTTCAACGACCAAAATAACAATATATTACAAAACAAAAATTCGATACTAAGCCATTTGCATTAACATTAGTCTGAGATGTACACTGGTTTCCTGTATGGCCATTATGTGATTACCGTTCAAATTTATAGAACGACTACTAGTAGTTTACAAATGTTACCACTGCGTCCGGGCGAACTTTTAACATCGAACATTACTAGGTTAGTTATGCTTTGCGAAGTAGAATTCGAACAGCAATGCATGACAGGGTTATTGTAATACATTCAAATAATAACCTTCTCGATAAACGCAATATGTCACTTTCGATCAGTATAGTGCGCCAATGTCGTTAGTTTCAGATTAGATTTGTGGCAAAGTTAATCAAATTTAAAAGGGTTTTCAACAATACAAGTTTGATAACCTGGTGAGATATAATCTCAACTTCTAGTTCTACTGGCACGTAATCTCCAATAACAAAAAAAATATTCTAATTAATGCCAATAACGTATATCCAGATATAAAGTAATTGTGGCGATTTTCGGCATATTATCATATCCGTTAGAAAAACTAAGTTGGCCACTTTTTGTCAAATTAAACTGAGCAAGTGCATACTACGCATGATAGTGCATTCAATTTGTATAAATGTTTTATAAAATTAAACTGATGGCTAAAACCCACTAGACCAATCACATTGTGTTTAGAATACATGGTCGTACATCGGCCAATGATTGAAGAAAACTTGCAAAGACTCACGGGTAATTTGCGTTAGCCTTTGTATCTATACGTCTTCTTTGTATTTGCAAGCAGCGCGAGGATATTCCGTGGATTTTTTGCATATAAATGATTGGCTTTATAAACTTTTATCAGTATATTTATAAACATGAATATGCCTTTGCTGACTTCAGGGTGTCATGTTCGTTCAGGGGCGATGTTAATCACTTTATTATTGGTTATTTTGCCAATTTGCATCACCGTTTTTTGATTTACAGAAACCGGAACAAGTACAGACCACCGCCGATTACTGGATACTCTATTTGATCCCGCTAAATATAGTCCAATAATCCGACCAATTTATAACCGGGCACATGTTACACATGTCAATATGACCGTAGTACTGTCTACAATTATCGATATGGTAAGTATTATTATTTATTATATTTCAAGCAACGAAAGAAAGCTATCACGTAATTCTAATGAAGTGGCGTTTCTTGAAACCTTGAAATATGTTACAGTCACGTATTGATCTTCCAGATTATTATACATACATCACCGAAAACATCATTTGAAACGTATCAACACCCATTCATAAACTGAGGGTAAACTACGTCATCAACATCGATGCGTTAATATCTGCTTATAATCTTTCAATAAATTATCACAACAAGCAGAATAATGATATACAACAACAAGGTTATCGCTAGAATACGGCAAAGTATGCAATCAGGCGTTACGGGTCTCATCAACCTCCGATCATTGTACTTCTTTCGTGCATATATTGCGGTATTCTCGTAATAACTTCATATTACCCACGTGTTTGTTACCATGACGATGCCAGTGACGACTACCAACTCACACACGTGATTTCTATTTTAGGACGAACGTAATCAACTTCTTAAAAGCAATATGTGGGTTACCTTGGTGAGTAATAAATTAAATATTTCTTTTCATTTCTGTCATTGTGGCGTCCTGTTGAGTGACGTCACATTAATTGTAACTGAAGACGTATCGATGCATGGAGACAACATAAAATCGATATAAATTTAATCAAACCGTTTGGCCAATCATAATGGTTTCACAATAGTAATTATAATTGTCGATCTTAAAACGACAATTCCCATAAATAGGTTTTCCAATTTCAATTCTTCGCCTTCTGTGAATACATTTGAAATACATTTGATGCACTGCGTTTTGTACGAATCGATGATTGAGGGAAAGACAAAAAGGCTCAGTGGTAATCTTTGCTTGCCAATGTTCATTCATTCGGCCATCACCCTACAGTAGTTACCAAAAGGATTCTGTAGCCATTAGAAATGTTTTCTTTAAATTTGATTGTAGAATGATTATTTAAAACGCTCGTTTAGAAAACGGTTTATCAAAATTCATTCTGCCTAGTCGTGTTACTGTTCTGGTTGTTTCTCATTAATTTGTATGTCATGCTAAATGATAAACATAAATTATATTGTCATAGCAATGGATAGACGAGTTCATGCGGTGGAATCCTGATGATTACGGAGGAATAGACAATATTAAGGTGCCTTCCACTGATATATGGCTGCCGGACGTTGTACTGTATGACAAGTAAGTGCCGTTTGTAAATAACACAAAGACTACAAACTTGAATTCAATTGCTGTTGTTCCGGCAAAACAAAAGTTCAAACCAAAAGTGTCACTATCACGATTAAATGGCGCCAAGCTACTATGGTTGACTTGGCTTAATCAACACGATTTAGATTAGAATTGGAGTTTAGACTGAAGAATCTTTGTCGAGAAAAAAAATTCTAATACTTTTTAAAAGTTGATTATCACACGTTAAAAGAAGTTGAATATTTCTATGAATAATATTCAATGCATTCATGCAAATTTTTCCTAGTTAGTGAATTAAAACCTTAAAACTACACTAAATCACATTTACTAGCCTATAGCAAAATGTATTATTTATTATCCCAAAACTCGGTAAAAACCTATTTTGTATACTTTAGTTTGAGGTTATAACTGGTGTTAATAGACGTTAGTTTGTAATGCAAAATTTATATTTATAAATAGTGTTTTTGTTTAACCATAGATAAGAACCTTAAATCACGATTTTGAATACTTACTATAAAAGAGATGGTAGCCATATATATTTCCTTACTTTATATACCAAATTTACTAACCATCTTATAAGTATTGTGAACTGTTAGTTATGCCCAATGCACACTTCCCTAGACAATCCCCTATTTTAGTGAATTTATTCATTGTATTATTTTGCGCTTTTGCCAGTAGCTTTAACTTTATATTTTGGTGTATGTGTATTTCATTTCCAGTACTATTTTCTTGTCTACCCCATTCTAGCAGTGAAATATCCCCTGTCCAGGGTGGGTTTTTTGAGTGACTCTCTCAACATCAATTAGCTGTCCTTACACTATGACAATTTCCCTTTCGCGCAAAATGGCTCCGACTTTCCATTTTTTGATGTAAACTTTGTATTATTCACAATAAATATGTTTATTTTGTCATATTAAATATAAATAATATATTAAAACTTAAAACCTAGACGTTAACAATTACATTTAACAATAATAATTACTGCTAAATTCGCTTGTTCTTTTCTTTGATTTACAGTGCTGCCACGTCGTATATCAATTTTCTAATTAAACAAATAGCCATCATTTACTACACTGGAGAAATTTTGTGGGCAGCTCCCGTAATATATGTGAGCTCGTGTTCAGTAGATGTCACATATTTTCCATTTGACATGCAAAACTGTTCGATGAAGTTTGGTCCTTGGCAACATGACGGCACAGAGGTATATATGCATGGTGTCGGTGAGTAACAGTTTTTTTATCCCGTGAATATATATATATATATATATATATATATATACTTAAACCGGAGCCACCGAATAATATTTCCACAAGTCATCTATTCATCATTGCTATGATATTACAACACATTACCTGTAAATGTAGTTGCAGTATACGTCATTGTCACGTGATCAAGTAATGATTTGAACAGACAAGTACATATCTGAAAAATACGCGAACAGACCTTTCTAATGATACCATACATCATTATTCCCCACAGTTGGTTACAAACCTGCAAACAGTGTCTTGGTCCGTGAACTAATGCTACGTGTTTTATTTCTCATTTCATAGCTAACAAAGAAGAGTATCAAAGCGATGGACAGTGGGATCTAGTCGAGGTGACAGCAGTGGAAAATGTGGAATATTACCCAGACCACCCTGAAGTACCATATACAGATGTTAGATTTGGATTAGTATTTACAAGAAGACCGCAGTATTACGTTTTCAATTTGTTATTACCAAATGCATTGTTTACCGTTGTCACCATCACAGTGTTCTATTTGCCGCCGGAGTCTGGTGAAAAAATTAGTTTAAGTATTACAATCTTGCTGTCCTTGACAGTGTTCCAGTTGATGTTAGCGGATTTTATGCCACCTTCCAGTTTCCTGCCATTCGTAGGTGAGTGTCGGTGACCGAATCTTTCCAGATTTCCACCAACCATGTCAAATATATCACCTACTCAGAGATCCAATTCTTCAGCCACTAAGACACCTAATTCGTCAGCCACCCATACCCAATTCTTGAGCTTCCATCTTCCATCAGGAGATCTAATCCTTCACACACTTTGAGACCCAATAATTTAGCAACACTGGGACGCCCATCAAATCCAACACCCACAGTTAGACCAAAACCATCTCCGAACGTTAGGCTAAATGCTTATTTTCAAGACCCAATCCAGGACAATCCCGAGACACAATCCGTTAGCCACCCTGAGGCACAATCATTCGGCTACCTAAGGCTACACCCTTCCTGGATCAACGTCTATCACTCTCCCTAAGTATTACCCAATATACCATTCATCCTGAAACATAATCTATCACCACCCTAATACCCTAATCTATGGCCCGCCCAGTGACCCAAACCATTACTATCTTCTACTATCCGTCTTAAAAACTTCCATCAATTGTATCAATGTTAGGAATAATTTAAAGTCCAGAACCCATGGACTGACGAGTAGCAGAATTATCGCATAAATTAATGAATGTCCACATCCACTAGCTTCATTTGTATGGTTATTAAAATCGATGTTTTTGGTTGCAGGATACTACTTCATCGGCGTAATGGTGCTAGTGTCTATGTCACTGGTGTCTTCAGTTCTAGTACTTAATGTTCACTGTGGGACTCCAGAGGACGATGGAATGCCTGCTTGGGTACGGCGTTTGTGTTTAGATCATCTAGCGCCGTTGATGCACGTTTGGAAACGACCGATTGCCCGTCCTTTTCAAGCTAATATATCAATGCACAGACTGGAGGAATTGAAGCGAGCGCCAACTTATGTTAAGGCAAAACTGAGCAACGGGGAAGTGTTTTTGCCTTTGCTTCGAAAATATAGTATAGTACCTGATCAAAACAGTCGGCATCGTATCATGGGCAGCTCGCCTGAACGCCCACGGAAGGTTCGGGGTAATGCATGTGACGAGAGTGAACTAGTCATTGAGCTATTGGAAGAAACAAAAAAACTCACCAAGTACTTTGACTTGAAGAGAAGAGAAGAGTTAGCCAAGAAAGATTGGAAAATTGTAGCAATGGTCGTGGACAAATTATTTTTGTTAATTTATATTATCGGGAGTGTTGTTGCTGCAGTTATCTTCGCCTGTCAGATGGGAACAAATACATCAAAGACGATATAAAATACAACAAATATGTGACAAGCATGGGTTTCTTATCCAACCAATCAAAATTCGTTTGCCAAATAACAGAGTGGCCGCAACAATCAAAATGTTTGACAAAGCTACTGAATCATCATCATCATCATCATCATCATCATCATCATCATCATCATCATCATTATCATCATCATCATCATCGTCATTATCGTCATTATCGTCATTGTCGTCATCACCATCTCCATCCTCATCGTCATCATAATGATATTTTAATTGCAATTCCGCACATGACTATATAAAAAGACTTGAGTGTTGGGTGACAGTATTTACATTTATTTGAACCCAGTTTCTAATAAAGATTTTCTGTACTCCGTGTGATATTTAGACCAGAAACCGTTCTCCAAAAAGTTCTCTTCGTATCTCCAACGTATATACTGTTAGTCTCTGTCAGAGTAGACCGAAAATAAGACTTATGTGTTAACATCCACATGTCAGTCCGTGCTTCCGTCCGACGTAATTTCACGGACATGCCGAGAGCAA